GGAGGATGTGGGCAGGGGAATGAAGGGAAGCAGCAAGTAGAAGTTTCATTGACGACGGGGAATAACCAGGTCCAAATTGGATGTGATGGAGCTTGAGACTGCACTAAGGAAACTCGCACAGGTTTCTGAAAGTGCCTTTCTTCCTGCCTCTTGCTCTTGCTCCTGCCCTCTCTCCCGCCTCTCCTCCTCCTCTTTCTCTCTTCATCCCATCTGGACTCTATTCATCCCGTGCTTGTCATCACTTGCATTCCAGGACGAAGGAAGTGACCTCGGAAGTTTACTAGCCAAAGGTTCTTCTCCTGCCCCTGCCCCTGCCCCTGCCCCTGCCCCTGCCCCTGCCCCTGCCCCTGCCCCTCTCCGCCTCCTCGTACCTTGGTTGTGTGCCCTGAACATTTTCATCTGCCTCCTCGTTTCTGCCGCTCTTTCCCTCTTCTTATCTCTTGCTAGATGCCGCAGACCCTGCTCCTGCTGCTCCTGCTGCTCCTGCTGCTCCTGCTCCCCAAGAGGATCGTGCAGCAGCTGGAAAGAGTGTTGGACTTGGCTTCACTTTCAAAAGAGACTCACGCACTGGAAACTGGCAGGTCTAAAGCTTCTCCTCCTCTCCTACTTCCTCCTCCTCTCCCTCCTCTCCTACTTTCTCCTCCTCTCCTACTTTCTCCTCCTCTCCTACTTTCTCCTCCTCTCCTACTTCTCCCTCCTCTTCTGCTCCCTCCTCCTCCCGGTCTTCCTCCACCATGCCAATGTCCTCCTCCTCTCCTCCTCTTTCCCCTGTTTCCCGTCATCGTCATCGACCACCACCTGGTCCTCGTCCTCTCCATCCTCATCGTCTTCCTCCTTCTCTTCCTGACTTCTCTCCCCTGCTCAGGTCAATCGCATCAAGGAAGGTGGCTTTGCAGAGAAGGTCAGGAAAACTTCTCCCGCTCTCCGAGCTCGCCAGCTCTCGTTCTCCTCTCCTCTTCCTTCCCCTGCCCCTTACCCTTCCTCTCCACCTCCTCATCCTTCACACTCCCTGCCTGCCTGCCTGCCTGCCTGCCTCCCTCCTTCCCTCCCTCCCTCCTTCCCTCCCTCCCTCCCTCCCCTCCCTTTCTCTCTTTGACTCTCTCGCTAGTCCGGAAAGATTCAGTCAGGCTACGTCATCTTCTCCGTCGACGGCAAGAAGTAAGTCTAGCTAAGAGCCATGGTGGTGGAGCACGAGCACGAGCACGAGCACGAGCACGAGCAGGGGCAGGGGCAGGGGCAGGAGCAGGGGAGGGATATGTCGACGTGAAGGGGAGGAGGAAGATGTATGTGTTTGGAAGCAGAAAAGACAAGGAAGACGACGGACGAGGGGTGTGAGGGGAGGGAGAGAAGAAGAGGAGGGCAGAAGAAAAGAGGGAGGAGCAACCGACGGGCTCGTCTTATCCTCTGCAGGTGCTGCGGTATCAGCCAGACCGAGCTCGGGAGCCTGATCATGGGTCCAGAGGTGAGGAGAGAGGACGGTGGGACAGGCGAGGCAGGAGGGAGGAGGAAGGAGAAGAAGAGGAACGAGACAAGGAGTGGAGGGGGAGGAGAACAGGAGAGGTGGGGCAAAGGAACAGGAGAGGAGAGGGTGTTAGAGGAGAGGGGAGTGGAGGGGAAGGGAGGAGAGGAAAGGAAAGGAGAAGGGAGGGGGAAGGAGAGGAAGGAGCTGACAAGGTTGTGCAGGGCTCACGGGCAATGGTTGGGTTCTGCGTGACTGAGACGGACACTCCTTTCTTCCTCGAGTGTGAGAGGATGAGATCGAAGTAGAGAGGACGAGCGAGTGATGTCAACGGCGAGAGAATTGGAATTAGGAACTCCGAGATGTTGTGATGTAGACGAGGAGAGGGCAAGGGAGGAAGAGGAGGAGGAGGATGGGGAGGAGGAGGAGTGATCAATGTATGTAAGACTACCACCCTCACATGTTTTCATATGGTAACCGTCACTTCTCATTCATACAGATCCTCAAACTACTTCACATCCTCACTACTATAGTACACACTTCAACTCCCCCCCCCCTTCCATCCTGCACACCCCCTCTTACAGCTCCTCGTACAGCTCCTCCTCCTCCTCCTCCCTTGTCAAAACCTCCCTCAATGTATGAAGGTACTCTCCCCTAGTCCTCCAGTCCTACCCTCTCCCTCTCAGTCCCAACAGCTGGGCAGGCCTTCCTTCATCCTCCTTATGCTCACGCAGCAATTCCTGCCGCATCATGGAAATTCACGTCCCCCGTCATCGCCTTCAGCATCGTCTCTACCTGCGATCCTCATCAGCTCCCCGCTCCACCTCCTCTTCTCTCTTCCTCACCCCGCTCCCCATGCGCTCAATCGTCCGTGACCATGACCTGCCAGCAGCACATGAGCTCCTCCTCCCTCGTCCCCTCGCCCCCTCGCCCCCTCGCTCCGTCTCCTCCCTTGACACGACTAGAGCTTCAAACTACCTCTTGATCGCCTGCACCGTTATGTCCGCGTTGCTTCCCATCCTCGCGATGGTCCGTGTAGCCCATCGCCTGCGCTCAACACGTCACAACTCGTCTCCTCTCTCCTCCTTCCCTTGCTCCTCCTTCCCTCCCTTATCTTTCTCGTTCTCTTCGTCCTCACCTGTTCAGCCCTGGAAGCAGTGGCAGCGACCAAACATCGCTGGATGTGATTTCAAGAATCCCCCTCGACCGCTTCCTAATGATCCACCGAAGGTCCCCGCTCGGCTTCTCCACCGCCACAGCCTCCTCCTCTTCGCTTCCTTCACCAAGGGGCGAGGCCTCTGCAACCCTTCCGTCCTCCTCCTCTAACACGCGAGAAGTCTCGGGAGCGCCAAGCAGAAAGTCTTTCAGCCTAGGGCTCAGACCCTGCGGTCACGTCACAAACTCTGGAGCTCCGCCTTGCCCATCCCTTCCTTTTTATGCTTTCACTTCCCTCTCCCCCTCCTCCCCTACGGTCTTAAGGCTCTTCCCTCGCCCCAAGTGGTACCTGTAGCGGCAGGTGAACTTCAAGGAAGTCAAGTAGCTGCTTCCTGGAGGAAAAGTCTCAGTCTGTGCGCTCTTCGAGCCGTACCACTGAACCTGCTTGCTGCCGGTAGCCGATCGAACTTCTTGACCATCAGACATTCCGACGATTCTTCAACAGCTGACAGGGTTTGTAAGCCCCACCTCCCTCCTTGGGGGCTAAGGCATGCAAGGTACTCTTCCTACCTCGTTGTCGTCCCATAGGAAGGCCCGGTGATCCTTTCCAACATGCCCCACGCACTCTGCGGCGAACACGACGTCCTTGACGCTGCAAGTCACGAGAGTCTCCGGAGCTTCTTCCAGGCCCAGCTTCTCCTGCCACGTTGACATCAACATCGTTGACCAAGTAGAAGAACGTGCGAGGAGCAGAATCTGCTCCAGAGCTGTTGACGACGGCAGGGAGGTGTATTTTTTGGAGGGGAAAGGGGGGGGAGCAGAGTGGAGATACCTTGAGGACGTCACGAGCTGTGAGGAGCCGGAGGAGGCACATGCCGATATCACGCTCCTCGAGGTCGAGCAGAGGCTCGTCACCTGCCAACTCTTCCTTCACTACCCTCGCACGTGCCGCCTACTCCGCCCCCACCGGAATATGTTTGCAGGATCTCCTTGGGGTCAGTGATGCTTCCAGGAATGCGTAGGATGTGAACTGACTTCAGTTCCCCGTCGATCTCGATCACCTTCAACCGCGTCCCTTCGTCAGTGGCCGATGCAACCACCAACACAGCAAAGCCAACCTCCTCGTAATGCCAGGACGGGTCCCATCGAAGGGCTATCGTCGCCCTTCGGAAGCACGAATGATACCTTCCTTGACGTCAGAGACGACTCAGCAACACAGTCACCATCATCACATGAGCAAGGCGGATCTCATGGTGTAAATGCAAACTTTGCGATCGTGGAACTTTGAGAGCTCATCCAGCGCACGGTTCGCCTCTTCGTTCCAGAGCAGCCGGTACTGACGCTCCGAGTCACAAAAAAACTTCCTCACACCATGTTCTCGATACCAGATCCTTCAAATCTTCCTTGCTCCGTTGCATCCACAGCATTGCACATCCCTGCCACCTCAATCACCACCCAAAATACCTCTTCCCAACCCCCATCCCTCCTCCGCGATCGCACCCACCAGATCGTTGGCATCGTTTCCCCAGAAGCATGTCATGTCCAAGTCAAGCAGGCATAGGACGTTGAGACGTTTGTGGGGCTGATGCTGCACCTCATCCTCCAACTCTTCGTCCTTGAACCTGCCCACGGCTCCCGCTACCCTGGGCGGGGCACCCTCCTTGAGTTGTGACTCCAGCAAAATACGATTCTTCTCATGGTCAGCTTGGAGGAAATGCCGACTGGGACGCTTCTGTGGGATCTTCAAGACGTGATTGAGCGGTCTTCCAGGGTTAGACGCCACAAAGGCCTTGTCCAAGGTATTCTCCATGGAGTTGAATCTGCACAACAGCTGTGAGAGAATGTTTCAGGGGGAGAGAGATTGTTGTCTACTTGGTTGACCATGGCTCGTACTCGCAGGATGCTTCTAGAAGGAAGAAGGAGAAGCAGATTGTAGCAAGCGCAATGTACATAAAGTTCGCTGCCATGCCCTCTTTTTGTCAGCGTGCAAGGTATCACTGTCTGGAGCACGAGACTGCCTGGGACCTCTCCTATCAAGACCCACCAGCTCAGCGGAATCAATCGCGTTCAAACTTTGACTTGATTCCTCTGGCTCAACCAGGCATCTCTCACGAGCAGTCTTGTACCTGCTGTGACAAGCAAAGTGAGTCTTGAGCGTGTTAGACAACGCAAAGTCTTCCACTTCACTGCATGACAAACCCTGCTTTCCATATCCACTCAGCTCTCACGAGATCAACAGTCTGATAGTTCATGAAACACTCTCCTCATGCTCTTCCTGCTCCTGCTTTGCCTTCCCATACACCAACATTGGCCATCGCAATACCCCACAACCCCCGTTGCATTTTCGCAAGCCCAACAAATTTCTTTTTGAATTCGGACTCAAATAATGTTTGAAATATTTGTTCAAAGGTTGAAATTATAAACAATTAGATTGCTGGTACCCTATTGAAATTTGTTTCACCCACATAAATACGCCCCTTCTGGAACGCCTCAAAACAACAAAGTTTCAGTTCATTTTAAAAGCTTCAATATTGAAAATTATCCATCAAACTATCATGATAAATTTCAAATTTATAGATAGAATGTTTCCGTATGGGGGTACATGTCTCAAAATTTACAAATATCGATACGGGTTTCAACTACTACCCACCCCACGAATGAACCAAATACTGGACCCCACACACAGGTTTCTGAGGAAACCCGCTTCCAAGCACCCCTACATTTGTGTACCCCACCCATGACTGACACCTTCTATGACCCATGTCTGCGGACCACAGTCGTATTAGAGGAATCAAGCAAAGGGGGTCCTTCATGTCCATTGCTCCCGATAGGACGGGTACATTTCCCCAGAAAAATGGGAGTGAAAAATGTCAAGGGGGTCCTGCTTCGAGACCCTAGGGAGATTGGGGTGCAGCCCTCCTTTTTAAAACCTTTTTCAATCATCTACCGGTACAACTAAAACACATTTAAAAATGGGGGCGCAGTACTGAAGATGTGAAAAAGAGTTTTTTCAATGTTGTGGAAAGGGAAATCTTGTAACGACACCCCATTCTCTCAACGAAGGCTGAAGATCGTTACAGTCGCAATGACCGTTGCACATCCTGCTGCATCACAACGACGATCACACGTGCATATAGGGGGAGAGTGCGAACATAACTCTTTTCAAACTTCAATCGTATCTCACCGCCTTTTCAATTTTCAAAGGATTCCTTTTCACCATGAATTCATTGCGGTAAACCATAAAAACAATTTAGAACTCCCCAAGTTTGACCCCTACCCCTCTTCTTAGATTTAATAGAGGGTGGGGTAACACTGCGAAGAAGACTTTCTTCGTGGCAGATCGAGATCTTTGAAAAAAAACGCACGAGCGGATCTAATTCCTTTTTATACAAAAATATTTTTAGATCCAGGGATTCCGGAAGACCACCCCACCCCACTCTTTTCAAAATTGTGCGACACCACCCCATATATCCGTAGCCCCATGACCCAACCACCGGCCCTCTGAGCTTTGGGATCGCACAATTTACTATCACCCTGTAGTTCCCTGAAGTATTAAATAACATACTAATACAATATGAACATCCTTAAATCTCCAATGCATCTAATGAGAGCACGTCCGCTGGTAGTCAACTACCCCACCTATGTGCATACTATGCCCCCCTGCACCCCATGATTCGAAGACTGGGGGGTGGGGGTGATGATGGGTCTGTAGAACGTGGAATGGGGACGGATTTTCGACAAGTGTACTTATTTCAAACTTATTCCGTACTCACCTGCAAAGGTTCAAAATCAAATCATGATATTTGAATATTTACAAAGGCATGTATGTATATTTGGTAATAGTTTGAGGAGAAACAAGTCAATCATTGACCCTGCCGCGATTATTTTCTGCAAACACTGCCATCTAAAACTATTTTAGATGTTTTCCTCGTTCGGGCGGTCGAGAGAGGTAGGGGTGGTCAGAAACCGGTGGATATTCCAACAAAGAACCCGGCGTGCTCATGGACAAAGGGGGTCATCGAAAATTTGAGTAGGGTAGGGGTGGTCGGTCCCTAAGGCGACTCCATCAATCCGACCAAAGGGTCCTCTTCACTACCCCACCCTACACATACCGTTATTTGAAAGGGGTAAAGGGGGTCTTTTTGGATTTGGTGTGGGGGTAGGGGTATCAGGGGTCCATTGTCATGTGCAGTTGATCATCACCACATATGGGGGAAAGTAGGGGGTGGGGGGTAGACAGGTAGGGGATGTATCGGAAATGGTATGGTAAATAAAGGGTAGGGGTTATCCTTCCTAAGGAAAAATAAAGGGGGAATGCTTGATGGAGGGGGGTAGTGGAGTATTCAAGTGGGTCCATGCATGAGGGGGTAGGGTATACAGAGAGTAAAGGGTGGGTCGGGTGGCCGACTTTACGAAAATCGCACGAGATGGCGGCGACAGAGCAGATTAGGAGGTCGATGATGGTCGAGAGGAAGGGGGAAACAAGGAAAATGGCGCTTGAAAACAAGAGATAATGAGTGAGGAAGAGAGGTGGATGAATTCTAGGGAGACAGCCGTGTGTTGGACAGAAAGATCTTTAGGTGAAGATCTGCAAAGAGGATACTGCGTGAACATGTTCGAGAAAATTCGGGATTGATCTTGTTTTTACCAGTGATTTCGCATGATGAAATGATTTTTATATGGAGTGTTTAGTTAGAGAAACAAAGATCTTGTCGGCAGTGACAAAATTGTTGTCTCGATATCGTGATAAACCCTGATAATGGAGAAGCGACTCAATATAACAGTAGGGGAAGGATGGTGCAGAATAAGTCTTTAGGTGTATCACATGGTCTTGTATCCTTGTCTTCATTGCAAGCAACTATCTCCCCCAACCTCCCCGTGTTTGCAACCTGCACAGCAGCTCACCTCTGGTCCCGCAGGATGGACGCGCATGCACCGAAGCAGGGAGGCATGCACGCTTCGTCGCACAAGCCAGCGCCTCCCTCTCCGAGGAGAATGACTCTGATGGAGAGGAGGAAGCGAAAAATCATATCACCCATCAAGATGGACTGCGTTCAGCCCTTCTGCCGAAGAAACAACGACCAAGCTTGCGTCCTGACGGCGCCGGCCACCCATCTGAGGTTGAGCACCGTCAACGCAGGGGAGTTCTATCAGCTGCACAAGTGTCTAGATGCCAGGACGCAGGAAATTTTCTTCTATCCTACATACGTGGGCCCAGAGGACGAGAAAGAGAGCCATGTCGTGAAGTGGCCTGAGATCGTACACCTTCCTCCGACGGCCCAGGCTGCTCCTGCAGCATCTAGCGAGAACAACTCGTGCAAGACACCGGGGAGATCGGCTTCCTCGGACCTCTCAGGATTTTCAGAAGCCGAGACTTACCAGGCAGCCTGCGCCTCCTCGTCCGACTCGTGCGGGGCAGATGCCAAGACTGACCCATGCGACGGAACGCTCATGTACCGTAGGAAGAGGAAAGCGATCGCTCCTCTCGACATGACCTGCGTCTCCGACTTCAAGAGGAGGAGCCGCAAGCACCTCTGCATCCTCTCAGCTCCTGCCACTCACCTCAGGGTCGGCAAGTTCCAGGCTGGGAGCTTCCATGTCATGCACAGGTGCATCGACCTCCATACGAAAGAATTTTTCCTGTCGCCCGAGTATGTCGGCCCCCCCGGTAAAGAGCAGCTGCACAAGGTGAGCTGGCCGGAGGCCGTCGAATGCAACGAGCAGGAGCAGGAGCAGGAGCAGGAGCAGGAGGGAGTGCAGCAGCCGGAAAGTGCCAGCGGCTTCATCACTGGAAGCAGCTGTGACCCCCTTGAGCGCCTGGAGGTGAAGGATGTGGACGAGCTCGAGTCAGAAGGGGGAAGCGGCAGCGCGGCGCTCTGTATCCCCTCGCATACTCCTCAGCGGAAGCAGGTAGCCTCTAGAACTTCTCCAGGAACTCCATGCGATGTTGCGACGGCAACAGCTTGCTTTGTGAGCCGAGCTGTTCCACCCGAGTGATGCAGCCGGAGGTTTTTCCCCTTGTAGAGCCGTCAGAATACGAGCAGACCCGAGCGTCACATCACTTGAGTAAACATCAGGATGTACAAGAAACGAGCCATGCCCTTCGCTTCATGTCTCTTTCCCCTCCGCCATGTTTAAAGCAGTCGTCACTAACTACACCCATGTGTTTCTTTTGTTTCTATTGGAAAATAAACAATGAGGAGCTTTCAAACAACGCAGGCGTAAATTGCAATAGTGTCTTCTGCATTGTATAGAGTACACTGCGCGAGCAAGTTAGAAGCATGAACAGGTGCTACAGGTGCAGTCAAACCGTCTGTCCCGCGAATGTTGGTTGGAAGTCGAAAGTGCGCTGGTTCAACCAAACCTACAACGACAGTGAGCGGGGGCAAGAATACAATGACAAGTCCATACCTTAGAAGCTGTTTCATCTTGAGTGAAGGACATGATAGCTGCGTGGTTATCGCATCTTCCTCCGTCCATCTGGCACGAAAACGTCAGCGCAACTGTCAAAGTCATAGGGCTTACTGACTGACCTTGGAATCTATATTGGAGGTTGTCGGCTTGACCTTGACAGGATCGTCAGCTAACGGTTGCAACTTTGCTCCCGTCCACTCACTGAGAACATGTTCTTAATGGCGATCCACTCGGCTTTGAGCCACTTCTTGTGAGGAGTCCAGGGCCTGACGGAGGGTAGGCAGAAAGGAGGGGGAGGAGAAGGCGTCAGCTATGAGAGGAGGAGATGTTGCAGGACTCACTTGCACTGCTTCGGGAACTTGTCCTCGTCCTTGTTGATAGTGACTGACTTAAGGCAGATCCCATCGTAGATGAACCCTCCGATCTTCGAGCACCTGCCAGCGTTCTCAGTCGCCTGTATCCTCTTCGTCCCCTCTGACTCACTTGAGCTCGGTAGAGGATGGACCAACAGGCCCTGGGACCCCTGTGAACGCCGACGTCACTTCGACAGACTACCCCACCAGCACGAGATCTCAGAACCTGGTGGACCCATAGGTCCTTCGGGCCCTGGCACTCCCTTGGGTCCAACCGTTCCCTGTCCACAGGTCAGGCCTGCACCCTCCTGCATTCCTCTTCCGCACACCATCGGGCCAGGCTTGCCGGGCGGGCCTGCAGCGCCCCTTATCCCGATCCCTCCCTGCTCTCCCGTCTTCCCACGGAGGCCACTAGGGAGTATCAGCATGAGCGGCGAAGGACGAGCACACATCGAGCAACACACCGGCTTCCCTGGATCCCTGGGTGTCCTGGAAGTCCTGGTTCGCCGTCGTAGCCTGGAGGACCCTGGGGTCCTTGAGGACCGATCTACAGGGCCCAGTTAGCGGATCGCAGGCACAACCCCTTGGCCTCCTCCTTGCCTCCTTCTCCTTCTCAATGAGGTGGGTTTCGATGTTCTCGTCCTCCTTCCTGAGCCCTTCCTTGATGTCGAACAGATACGTCTGCAGAGTTTCCTGAAGCAACGAGATTTCACAATGCACGCAGGGGAGCATGACAGCGCAGAACCTTGAGGGACTTCATCACTTCCAGGCCGTGCTCGAGTCGCTCCTTGTTCCTCTGCGCAACGGCCTCTAGCCTCTTAAGCTTGATGTCGTTCTCCTCCATGTCCTCTTTCTGCTTCTTCGCAGCCTCCTCATCCAGGACTGGGCACGTCGGGCAACCAGCGGCAGACACAGCAACGTCTCCAAACCGGATGATCGTGGGGGGCGGGGCAGCCGGGGCAGGCAGCGTTTTGATCCTGACATTGCCGAGGGAGTCACCGTTGGGTGTGGTGACTTCGAAGCTTCCGATGGGATCAGTCTTGACGTAGGGCATGCCTGGAGGGTGCTCGGGGACCTCCATGGCGCCAGCCACGTGGAACTGGTCGAGCATCTGCGCTAGGGTCCTCTGGTTGTTCATGGGCACTGCTGGGAGGAGCTGGTAGAGCTCCGTGGGTGCATGATGATACGCCAGCAGCACTACCCCAAGAACAACAGTAAAGCATGCAGCATAGATCGCTGCAATGCTTCGGTTCTCAAGCATGGCAGCAGCCACCTGTAGGGCAGGCAGACACATCAGACATGGAAAGTGAATGTTGCGTTATCTATGGGACTCGCCGCAAACTTCTACGGGGGATTGAGGCATGAAACTAAGACATGAGCTCTGATACGACACTGTGGAGGCCAGGGGATACAAGCCAAAGGTTGCAGATGCATCAACATGAAATAAATAAGAATGCAAGAAGTCAAGCTCAAAAGTTGGAAAGCAAATCTGTGTCTAAACAACATGCAGGAGGATCACAATCAGCATCAGGATGACGATTCAACGAATCATCGTGACCAATCTCGCAGAGTTCGCTGAAATATCAAAACTACATCTGTTCATGGCGAAGTTCTTAAGAATTCATCTGCCCTTACTAGTTGTTTCTTACAGCAACTTCCCATCCATGACAACAGGCTTGACCTATACTTTGCCGTCCAACGTGCGGGCGAGTTCGGAATCTAACACTATCATATTGTTCTTTCATCCTTCATCATTCAACTGGAGATCGAGATTGAGCTCTTTTCATTATCCTCAAGACTCCTGCCTCTAGTAATCCTCCTCCTCCTCCTCCTCCTCCTCCTCCTCCTCCTCTTACTCCTCCTATCCTTCCCCTCCTATCCTCCTCCTCCTCCTCCTCCTCTTCCTCCTCCTCCTCCTCCTCGTTGTTTCCCAACCCCGCCTTGGCCATCCTTCCGTGGCTCTTCACCCTGTGATTTTAAAATATTTACTCAAGACATACCAGCACAACTTACAGGTAATTCAATTTATAAATTGAGTAATTTATTATTAATTTGTAGAAAGAATAAACTTAAATATAAAACTGAAACAGATCGACAGTGTCCAAGGATCAATACAAAACACAAATATATTTATATATCCAAAATACTTTTTTAAGTATTGAGGCGGGGTTGGTAAATGGGACCCACCCTGATAAACAGCTGTAAGATTGGGAGAAAGAGGGGGTGAACATGACGGGGTGTAACTAAAATATTAGGGGTAGGTGCCTTCGGGCAATGGTTTAGTACCCCCGTAAACGTAATTGTTTGCTGGGGTGATGAAACAAATCAAGGGGTAGGGGTGCCATGAAGAGGGGTAGGCGACTTCTGAGACCCCTCCTTCATTCCTGAGGGCAGGGCAGATTCCGCTTCAGTCCATGAAAGTCTTCATTTTATTTTGAAATATAAATATATTATTTCAAATATTACTGAAATAATATGCAATGTCCTGAAATACCCCTCGATGTGAAGGTAGAGGATTTTTTCCCATCGGTGAACAGGTATATGAAAAACATTTACTCAATAATTCTGTGGTAATGAGAAAAGGAAAAAAACAAGTACACCGGTATTTGGGTGGGAAAAAAGTGGAATAATGATCTGAGGGGTAGTCTCCGTTCCCCTCGCCATAGCGACGGGACATTGCAGTCGTCTGCAGCTTGCTTGAGCTGGAGGTAGACCAAGGAGGTGAAGAGGAGGAAGCTACCCAGGCACAGAGACAGCGAGAAGGAGAGGAAGTGAAGGCCAAGAGCACTTGAAGCAGTGAGTCTCTTGCTTCCTCGTTGCTCTGAAGGATCGGAACCAATCGACACTTGCTAGATTCACCTCAAACAACATGTCCTCAAAGTTTCTTCTCGTCCTGTTCTATCTAGCATTTTCAGACATTGCTTCTTCCTTGAGAAATATTCCCGGGTCGGCTCAGTGCATCAAAGTCGTACAGCTCCGCGGGGGGGCAAGCCCGCAAGCGGCCAGCGCCAACGGAGTTCCAGTAGCGAGGTCGGCGTCTGGAAGGGACCTCCAAGGAACGGCGTTCACCAAGATCGTGTACAAGAAGATCAACGGGGAGATCCACAAGTCCGTGGAGGTTGTCGGGTCATGGTCGAGATTCAAGACGAGGAACGCCATGACCAAGAACAAGGACGGCGACTTTGAGATCATCATTGAGCTCCCCAGGGGGCAGCACGAGATGAAGTTTGTGGTCGATGGGACGGAATGGCGCTGCCATCCAGGGATGGAGACGACGACTGACTCGCAGGGCAACATGAACAATGTCATCTTTGTCGACAACATCCCCGGAGCCAAACAGACCGAGAGGAAATTCACAACGTCCGATGGTGTGTATGTTGCCTCCAAGGACAGCCTTGAGATCGCAAGAGATGTTGTGTCCCGACTGGAGCAGGAGAGGCAGGTGGCGCAGGAGAAGCTGGCCAAGGCCCATTCACAGTTCATCGACACTTTGAAGTCAGAGCTCAACAGCGGCCTCGTGGCGCTGAACAGGAGCAAGACGGTTGTGAACGCGTTTCAGGAGCAGGGAAGCAAGGGACTGGTTTCTATCAAAGCAGCTGGCGAGGTAGCTGTGAGCGGCTGGTCGTGTGGCAGGTGTTGACCGCATGGCAGGCTAAGATCACTGAGATCCGATCGCACATGGAGAAGATCAGAGACATCCTTGATCAGAAGGAGAAGATTGCGATCAAGGCTGTGACAGAGAACATGCAGCAGAGGATCGCGGTCTTGGAGAAAGAAGTATGAGTGCTCTCCTCTCAACGGGATGTGGCTGAGAGTGTGCAGATCGCACGATATGGAGTCGTTGGGCCGGAGCTCCAGGAGCTCATCGACGACACCAACAAGGTCGCTTGCACGAGAACATAGTTGAAGGGTGCGTTGGCTCAATCCAGTTGCAGGCGTTGCACAGCAGCAGCACTGACAGTACGGCGTTTGCGAACAAGGCGAATGCTCTCGTGAGCAAGATCGAGACTGTGACGAGCAAGGTGAGTTTTGCCTATCATCTCGCATTTCTTCCTCTCTTAAGGTTCGACGATCCCTTCTGTGTTGCAGGCTGCTGCTTTGATGCCGCCAACGGATGATGCGGATTTCGAACATCTCCAGCTCAACCTTCTGCCGCCACAGAACGCGTGAGGCAGATGCTTTCAGTGTTGAGCGGCCCGGCCCTGTCAAGTTGTTTGTCTGCCTTATAACTACTGCTCTCGGATATTCGATGCGGCAGCCACTTCTAAGTTCTCAGAATGAGGTTGCTGATGGCAGATGACGATTATATTGACATTGTCCAGAAGTTTATTTTTGAGACTCAAAGATGTTCGAGCGGCCCTTATAATGTCAGAGAGTCAGTGACTCAGAATAAATCAGAGTCTATCGCACCGTTGGTCCCCGGAGTCCGCCGCTGCTGCCCCCCGGCGTGCCCAACAGTGACGCCACCGCTATGGCCGTGGCGCCGTGACTAAGTCTTCACTGACAGCCGTGATTCACCCGTACTCCGAGCAGTACGACGGTAGCCGGCGGTTGCCACCGTGACTCTCACCGTCGGGCCTACGGCGCACGGGGCCGCGACCGTCACACTCGCGGCCCGGCGCACTGCCAGCCGTTGCCGCCGCGGCCAGTTCAAGGAACTTCGGAAGCCTATCCGGAGAGTCGCCGGGCCAGCCTACCAGTCACAGTGCCGTGCCACTGCGGCCTGGCCACTGGCGGCCCGGCCGCGGCGGACGGACCCGGTCACCCGGTGACCCCGGCGCTGGCCGCAGTACCCGGGCCGGAGTAGTTTTCAGTTTAATTTTTTTATATTTCGATTTCTGTGTTGCAAAATAGAAACATATGGGTCAACTTTCAACATTACATATCTATATTTCAAATATGCATCAGTGTATTTCAATCTTATAATTAAGACTTTTAAAAGTTTTTAAAACTGGGCGACGAGATGATGATACGCACTTACGAAGTGGAGTGAGGAGAGAAGAGGAGGAACGAAACAAGTAGCAGGGAGGACTGAAGAGAAGGTACAGACACAAGAAGGAGGGAAGGAGAGGACGGAACAGGAGCGGGAGCGGGAGCAGGAGGACACACGTCTCAAGGATGAGACTGTAAACCGAGAGCTGCGTTAGTGACTTGGTTGGCGTATCTGGCGTTGAATTGGTACAAGACTTGTAAAGACAAGTCAAAAACTTGAGGGGGAACAGGCTCAGAACTTTTCTCTTCCAAGAAACTCGGTCGGTTGCTTGAAAATTACAGCTCAACGCTGCAAGGATGGCTGGGCTCGTCAGCGAAGAGTAAAGGGGATGACAATGAAGATTAACAGGTTGAAGTTCAAGTACAAATCCACCTGAAGGGCAGAGATCTCAGCGCTTCCTTGAAGTCTGGTGTTGTTGAACAAGAATCTCGAGCACCTCCATCACTGCCTCGAGGCTGGAAACAGGTGAGATGGTCAGGACGGACAGCGATGGGGTCAAGTGCGAGTACCCATCTCAGGGGACTTGGACCTTTGGCGACATCGTTTTGAGCTCGGAGTTCTGCTCTGGGAACATCGGGCATGTGGAAGCAGTGGACGATGAGCAGACATGCTTCGAGCTGAGGACCTCGCCGGACTGTGCTGGGCAGCCGTTCGAGACGAACTACAGGACATGGTTTTATTTCAGCGTGTCCGGGGCGAAGAAAGATCAGACCCTGACCTTCACTGTAATGAACATGAACCCGCAGACAAAGATGTTCAACCAGGGGATGAAGCCGGTGTACAGACTGGGGAGCTCTGCATGGGACAAGTGGGAGAGGATCAAGGACGAGGTCACATATTCTTGCGGTGAAGGAAGGCAGTTTCAGATTCGTTTCAAGTTCCGCTTCTCCTCCGACTCGACGGTCTTCTTTGCCTTCAGCTATCCTTACTCGTTCGAGGACGTGAAGAGGAAGCTCGATGCAATCCAGGACGCCGTCGCCTCAAAGCTGGGGGCGAAGACGTCGGAATCCGCCATCTACCTTGAGAGAGAGACTCTGACGTACTCGCTGGAAGGGAGGAGGATGGAGGTGCTGACCATCACCGACTACTTCGGAGCTTCTTCCGAGCGGGAGGAGGAGATCGAAAACTTGTTCCCGGAGGGAAAGCAGCGGCCGCTGGTGTTCCCGGAGAAGAAGTACTTCGTGCTCTCAGCCAGGGTCCACCCTGGCGAATCTCCTGCCCAGTGGATGTGGGACGGAGCCATAGACTTCCTAGTGAACAAGGAGGATCCGAGGGCCAAGGCTCTCCGACGGGCCTTCGTCTTCAAGGTTGTTCCCATCATCAACCCAGATGGGGTGGCCAGGGGTCACTACAGGGCCGACACCCAAGGGTTGAACCTGAACCGTTTCTATGACGCCCCGGACAGGACAAGGCACCCGACGGTGTGGGCGATCAAGGAGCTGGTGGTGTGGCTGAAGGGGAGGACGAACTTGAAGTTCTTCGTTGACCTCCATGCTCATGCCACGAAGCGAGGATGCTTCTGCTACGCCAACGCGCTGCCCACGTACCAGGAGATGATAGACAACATGATGTACGCCAGGATGATCGCGATCAACAGCGCCCACTTCGACTTCGGCTCCTGCGTGTTCAGCGAGAAGGCTATGGAGTCCAAGGACAGGAACGGGCAGTCCAAGGAAGGGTCAAGCAGGGTCGGGATCTACCGAGCGACGGGCCTGGTTCACTCCATGACAGTGGAGTGCAACTACAACGGGGGCGAGTCGTCAACAACAAGCCTCCTGCTGCCACCCAGGACCCGCGGGCCTCCCCCGGAGAGACGTGGAGGGGCCCGCTGCCAAAGTTCAACACGAGCATCTTCAGGGACGTGGGCAAGGCGCTCATGGTGGCGGCCCTGGACATGGAAGAGCTGAACCCTTGGTCCCGCGTCCCCAACTCGCACAGCAAGAGCATGGCAGAGACGCGGGAGTGGGTCAAGAGCAAGCTGCTGTCCATCGATCCCTACCGACAGCAGATCCTGGCGGACAAGAAGGCGGCGCAGGCGAGCAAGGCCTCGAACGCGACAGAGAAGACGGTCAAGAGGCAGATCAGCTTGGAAAGGGGGGGAGGACGTTGCAGGAGGTCAGCACGAGGAACAATGTCGAGAAGAACAGCACTCCTGTGCTCCCCGGCCCCGTGAAGCCTGCCAGGTTCATCAGAGTCAACTGCTCGGTCAAGAAGGAGGCTGTGGAGGAGGCGACAGGAGAGAACGCGGCGGGGGAGGAGGTGGCCGTGGAGGAGGCAGAAGAGCCACGAAGCCCCAGTTCCAGTGAGGATGTGACGGAAGATCAAAGCTCCTCCAAGGTCGTGCCGAGGAACCTCCCTCCTCCCTCTCCTCCCCTCTCCTCCCCTCCCCTCCCCTGCTCCCTCTCCTCTCGCTCCTCTGCTATCCTCCCCTTCCTCCCCTTCTTTCCTCACCAGCCCTCGTTTCTTCCAGTCCCCTTTCCCTTCTCCCTCCCCCTTCCTACACCACCCTCTTCCTCCCCCTCCTCCATTCTGAACTTGTTCAGTTTCCTATTGCTCTTACCTCGTTCTCTTTCAGGCATCTGAAGGCTTCAGCGAGGCTCAGGAGTCGGAGAGTTCGGATGCGTCTGAGGCCATGCAGAGGCTGGTCCTGCAGGATGCGCTCGCCGACAAAGGTGAATATCTCCCTGCCTCCCTCCCTCCAATGTCTCGTCCTCTGATGTTCCGACGTCTCATTGCATCCCAGACATCAACGTCCTTCCGAGACCGCCTGAGCTCCCGGACATCCAAACGATCTCCCGCACGTCCTCAGGCTCTATGCTCCATCCTCCTGCTAACTGGAGGTCCTTCCCCTCCCCCTCCCCTTCCCTTTCTCCCCGCTCCTCCCCCTCCTCTTCCTCCTCCCTCCTTTCTTGCCTCCCTCTCACCCTCTTCCCATTGCTGCTGGTTGAGCCATCCTTCTGCCATGACTATCCGTGTTTACCCTCCTCACGCTCTTCTCCCTCCTTCCGTTCACCTGCTTCTCTCGCAGCCTCGTCGGGAGAATTCGCCATGCCACGAGCACTTCCAGGGTTTGTACCCCACCATCTTCAAGCCTCCTTCCTCCCTCCCTTCCCTCCCTCCCTTCCCTTCCCTCCCTCCCTCCCTCCTTCCCTCCCTCTCTGCCCTTCCATCTTTTGTTGCCAATTCTTCTCTCTCCCTCCTCCTCTCCCTCGCCCCCTCCCTTCACTCCCCTGCTCGCCTTCACAACCTCCTCCTCCCCTTCTCTGATTTTCACCCATCAGATCCCTACTCGTGCAGCTGCTCGAGCTGTGGACGAGAATCAGCGCAAACCTCGCGCGTCCTCCCTCAAGTCGTTCACTGACCTGCCTCCCTCCGCCTCCAGCAAGGCCTTCCGGGCTACTTTCGCGCCCCACAACCGGGTGAGGAAGGAGGAGGGGATGGGCAGCTGGGAGGATCAGGAAGATGCAGGAGGAAGGGGAGGAGGCGAGGTGGGGCAGGAGGGTGGAGAGCGATCACAAACGAGCATGCACTTGCAACGAAGGGTGGAGGAGGGAAGGGATCAGGGGAGGAGGGAAGAGCGGGAAGGAGCGAGGAGGAGAGGGGAGTTGGAGGAGGCTGATGTTGAAGCAGGCGAGACAAGGAGAAGGTCGGCGGGAGCAGGGGGGGAAAGTGAGCAGGACAGAGGAGGTGCGAGGGATCGGCGAGACGCTGGAGTGCCGAGGGTTCAAGAACGTGCTGAGGCCGAGCTGAGGAAGGAGTTTGTGTACAGAATTTTGTTTGAATAAGATGACAAGAATGATTGAAGGGGAGAGGAGGAGGAGGAGGAGGAGGAGTTAGAAGTCTAGCTGGCACAAGCAGGCAACTCCACGAAGGATCCAGTGGGAGGCGTCTGGTGGGATATCAGAGGAGAGGCAGGAAGGAGCGAGCAGAGCAGAGTAGCAGGAGGAGTGAAGGAGAAGAGGAAAGGAGCAGAAAAGAGTGAGGTACATAGCAAGGAGAATGGTGGGAGAGGAGAAGGAGAACGTTGGGGGGGAGGGGGGAGGAGGAAGGCGAGGAGTGGGGAGGAGGATCAAGGTGGGATGGAGAGGAGCAGGAGCAGGAGCTCTGACCTCTAGGGGAAGGAAGAACAATGTCCATGACGAAGTTTGTGGAGTGCCCGGTGGTTGAGAGGGTTCCCCTCCTCCCGTGGGCGTGAGCGGAGGTGAAGATTTTCGGGAGGGGGGGGGGGGGTAGCAGCAGCAGCAGCAGCAGCAGCAGCAGCAGCAGCAGCAGCAGCAGCAGCAGGCTGGGGGCAAGGGAGAGAGCAGGAAGAAACTGATACCTTGCGCTGGTCTTGTAGATTGGACATGTGTACTCGTTCGAGGACTTCTCGATGTCCTGCAAGGAATGAGTATGTGTAGAGAGCAATTTTTTTTTTGAAGCAGGAAGAGGGGGGGGAGGAGAAGTAGCAGCGGCAGCGGCAGCCGTGGGAGTGCAGGAGCAGCAGATGGAGGAGGAGGAGCAGGAGGAGGAGCAGGAGAAGGCGAGGGAGCAATAGGAGAAGCAAGCAAATTCTACCTTTGTCTCGCAGGGCTTGAAGAGGACGATAGGCATGGGGATGAAAAGAATTTTCGGCTGCTGCTCGGCCAGGTGATTCTGCTGGGGGTCCCACCCAGCGCCGTCAAGGAAGAGGCCATGGATATAGCAGCCATCCTCAGGACGATCGAGCTCCTCCTCGGCCTCGCGCATGACCTGGAAGGACCAGCTGAGAGTGTCTATCGCCTTCTTGTGCTTCCTCGCGAAGTTCTGGAGAGTCCCGGTGAGGAAGGACTGAGTGAAGTAGAAGCCCGAGAGCCAGAACACGCAGGGAGCTCCGTTGTTGATCCAGGTCTGGAAGAAGTGGAGGCGGCGGAGGAAGTCGTCGTAGAAGGGGCCGAGGGGCTTGAGGGAGGGGTAGCACTTGCTGCTCCAGAGGGAGGGGATGGAGCCGTTAAGGAAGGATACAGACATCCGCTCGAGGTCGGAAGACATCAACACGATGCCCTTGACGGCGTTGAGGAGCTGCTGCAGGCTTGAGCGGACGTTGTCGATGACGACGTTGAAGCGGAGGAGCTCCTGGGTAAGGACTGTGTTCATGCTGTCCGTGTAGAGAGTTGGATACTTCTCCTGCACGTCCTCCACGTTCCATGGCAGGCCGAACTTGTAAAAGTCGCTGCGCTCAGGAAGCCTTTCCAGCATCTCCAGCGCCATGGTCTCCAGGGTGCTGTCGGCCGACTTGCCTCCTCCTCCTCCTCCTCCCTTGGGCATGAGGAGGAGGAGAGAGTCGAAGAGAGAGTAGGTCTCGGCTGTAGCAAAGGTGATATTTGCGTTCTCATGAAGGCCGAAGCACTCGGGGGCCTCTACGAGCGGGAGATTGCGGAGAAACTGTTTGTGATCCTCTACAGTCCCATCGGGAGGAGCGAAGTAGATGCCTGACTCAGAGAACTTGTAGTCTTCGTCGAGCTGCAGGAAGGAGGAGGAGCAGCAGGAGCGGGAGGAGCAAGAGCAGGAGCAGGAGCAGGAGCAGGAGGAGCAGGAGCAGGAGGAGTATGAGTGGGAGCAGGAGCAGGAGGAGCAGGAGCAGGAGGAGGAGCAGGAGGAAAAGGAGATGGTAAAAGAGAGAAAGAGATCATGTCAGAAAAGAACGCTTCTGGAAAAGGGCGTAGACGAGGAGAAGGCAAAAGCAGGGGAAGAGAAGGAGGAGGGAGGAAGGAAAGAGTAGTTGCAGCTGGATACAACTGAGAAGTGAAGGAGAGGGGAAGAGAGAAGGCCAATAGAGACAGGAGAGGCAAGAAGCGAGTAGTCCGGTGAAGAAGAGGAAGCAAAAGATAGAAGGAGGCAGGAGACAAGGAAGACGAGGACAAGGACAAGGACAAGGACAAGGACAAGGACAAGGACAAGGACAAGGAGGAGCAGGAGCAGGAGCAGGAGGAGGAGCAGGAGCAGGAGCAGGAGCAGGAGCAGGAGCAGGAGGAGAAAGGGAGAGGAGGAGGAGAAGGAGGAGGAGGAGGAGGAGGAGAGTACTAACCACTCTGGGGGTGTAGAGGAGCTCGAGCATGGTGTTGACAGTCGTGCGGTCATGGGCGTCTGTGACCCTCCCCCCGTAGTTGGTCTCTCCTGCCGTGTAGCGCAGCGCAGCCCAGGGAATCTGCTCGAACTCCTCGAGGAACATCTTGACCTGCGTCTGACAGATGCGGAGGTCCGACTCGGTGAACTCGTAGGGGATGTTGAAGCCTAGGGGTCCGAACTTCCTCCTCTCCTGCAGGGAGGCGTGGAAGAATGCGAGGGAGAAGTGGAGCTTGCGAAGCTGGGCGACTTTGGAGCAGCCCTCGAAGAACGAGTCCTCGATGACGAAGTACGTGTTGAGCATGTTGGCTCGGAGTCCCTTGGGCGGCTGCAGCGTCATCTTCACTCCGTTCTGCAGGATGGCGACTGGGAACTTGTCGGAGGGGTAGGAGGTCAGCCAGAGACGGAACTGAGCATGGCAGCGCTCGGGCGAGAGCTTCTCTACCTTGGCCTCCAGTGCTGGCATCCAGGAGGGAGAGAGGTGGCAGTTCTGCAGGACGACCCAGGAGCCTCTGTCGACTGCGTCCTCTATCATCCGCTCAGCGATGGGCCCCTGCCCCTGGCCGAGGGAGAGCATGTCGAGCTTGATGCCGACGGAGTCGGCAAACTGGATGAGGGAGGCGTTGGGGTCGGCGCCAGGGGAGAGGACGAAGATGAGCGGGGAGGTAGGAGAGGAGTCGTCGAAGCAGTTCTGAAGGTCGAAAGGAGGAGGCTCGACAAACTTCTGCCCCATCTCCTCCACCACCAAGTTCTGCACCTCCTGCACGATCTTGTCCGGGCGGAGGCATCGGAGGATGGTGAGCTTCTGGAAGCTGCTGTACTTCTTGTGCATGACGCCGGGGAACTTCATCCTTGCAGGGTCCGCGCTGTCGTAGATCTGCTTCCAGTCGTCCACATGCAGCACGAACTCCTTGCCCAGCTCCTTGAACTGCTCCAGCAGCGTCGCCTGCAGGATCTCAGTCCATGCTCGGTCGGGGAACCACTCGGCGGGTTTGGGAGGAGGGTTGGCGCCTGCGGGCCCAGCGACGCCGCTGAGGAGGAACTTAAGCTCGGCGGTGGAGATGAGCTGCTGCCAGATCATGAGCTTGGAGCAGACGAGGAAGGAGTAGAGGAGCTTGTCCTTTTCGAAGAGCGAGCGGCAGACGTTCCTGTACAGGGAGTAGGTGAAGAAGTCGATGAGAACCTGAACGCGCGCCGCTATGTCGTCAGAGGACGAGGAGTCGTGCATGGCTGCTACGAACAGGTTCACGAACCAGCCAAGGGAGTACTGGTACATGGGCTCGATGCTCCTGAGGTCTGCCACACAGAAGAAGAGCAAGGAGCCCCTCTCGGCGTACGGCTTGTAGAGCATCCTTGCCTCGTTTATCGTGTTCTCCGTCCTCTCCGCCGCCTCCAGCGCCGTCATGATCTCGCTTGAGGTGACCTTGGAGGCAGAGAGCGTATTGATGAGCTCCTCGTCTTCCAGGATGTCACCTCCTGCCTCCGACAGCATCTTCAAGATCTTGTCCTCGATCTCCGCTATCTGCTTCTTGAACCCGGCGTTCTGCACCACCAGCTTCTGCCTCTCCTCCTCAAGGTCCGCCCTCTCAGTCTCGACCGTGATCCCCAGGAGCTGGTCCTCGAGCCCTTGCGGGGTGATAGTGAAGTTGATGAGGACGACTTTGGTGGAGATCTCGGGAGTGTAGTGAGGGCTGGGGAGTTTGGTAGTGACGTAGAACTTGAACTGAGGGGAGTACTCGACTGCGCTGTCCCCTATCTTCATCATTAGTGTGTTGCCTGACTTGTAGGTCTGGCGGGTGAGGACGGGCTCAAGGATAGAGTCGATAGTCTCCCCGACGTTCTCGAGGAGGACAGGACGGCCGTACTGCACGCAGCCCTCGATGCGGCGGACGAAGTCGGACTGACTGAGCTTGACGACCTGGGAGTGGAGTGAGAGGAAGGAGATGAGGAGGAGAGGAGAGGAGAGGAGAGATTAAAAAGGAGGGGGGTTGGGGGGAAGGAGGAGAGAGAGTAGGAGGAGCAGGAGGTCCTCCTGCTCCTGCTCCTGCTCCTGCTCCTGCTCCTCCTGCTCCTGGTGGTGGTAGAGGAGGAGGAGCAGGAGCAGGAGCAGCTCCTGGTGAAGGAGGGAGGAGGAGGAGCAGGAGGAGGAGCAGGAGGAGGAGCAGGAGGAGGAGGAGCATCTACTCGTTCCTCACCTCGAGGGAGTTTTCTTTCTCCATGTTGCGGATCCATCGATTGGCTTGACCCTTTGACATGTCGTCAGCGCAATGTGAACCGGAACAAGACAAGAGAAGACATCATCGGTGATGGTACATGATACAGCGATTGCGATGCGACACAACAGTGACATCAAGAAAGTAACGATCAACAAACATGGTTGCTATTTGCTGCTGATCAAATGATTTGCGATCATTTCATGACATCCAAAAAGTCAGACGCGCTCCTGACCCTAATCGTATTGCGCGCGATCCCCTTCTCTCCCCTTCTTCCTCTCTCCTCCTCCT